TTTTTTTTTTTTTTTTTGAAAATCTTTGTTTTCACAATCACTTTTCTGTTTATAATCGTTGCTTGTGATTGGTTGAACTTCTGCCCACTTCCAATAGACCAACAATATTACCGTTTACATTTAACGTGTTTTTTTTGTTTTCGTTTCAGGTTTTGTAGTGATGCTGACGACCAACCATTTCTTTACATTGGCGGTGGTTACGAGTCAGTTCATGTTGTTGTACACGTTGTTTCATTGTATTCCATTCCGAAGGTAAGAAGATATTTGTTCGTTTGTCATCCATCAAAAAGACGAACACAGTAAACACACACATGATGACTGATTGACCAAAGAACAGACAGACAGACACAGAAAAACACACTGAAAACTAAAAGACTGCCAGTTACACAGACAGAAAGACAGACACACACGCACATCAATGTAGGGCCAACTGTGCCGACTTATTCATGCACTACAATAAGTTTATTTCGTCTCTTCCCCCTCATCTTTCACATTTTCCTCATAATATTCTCAATCCTAATCTTCTTCTTCTCGGTATCCCGTCTCCAGTTTAGTGTTCAGGGCACTTGGAGGTGATCCATGGGAACTTTTTTCCAAATCCCATCTTCAGCAACTGCACCAAGATACGTGTTATTGGAGTTCCGGTGAGTCAGACACCGTTGTCTACGATCCTGAAAACCTTCATTGGAGCTCATCCTCTCTTTCTACCTACCTGGATGAAGTCCACAATCAAGATGGCGTCCAGTTTACTCAGCCTCCTACCAAACCAACAAGACATACTTGGGTTTGGACGTCTGATGAAGACAGTCAAGATGAAAGCTACGACGATGGAGTTTCAGGTAATGATGCTGGTTACATGACAGAGACGACCACAGAGAGTGGTGATTCAAGCTGTTATGAGATTGAAGAGAGTGTAGAGATCCAACAATATCTACCCAATTCATCAACAGAGATGATTTCCATGAAGGTCGAGGCTGTGGATCAAGTGATGGATATGAAGGATGACATGATGGACCAAGTTCTTCATGGAAAAGTTGATGCTAAAGTTAGCGAGAGTGTAGTTGGAGGAGAAGTTCTATCGTCCTCTTCTTTTCAAGAAGAGTCTGCAAACGTTGAGGAAGGTGCTGATGACATCAGTGTAGTAAAGATCGCTCCAAATGCTGATGTAGCTTCTACGAACGGTACAGATGTAGTTAACGACACAGATGATGTTGTCTTACATAGTGACAGCTTACAAGTCTTTGACAGGGTTGTGTTTTGTGAAGATGTTGATGGCTTCCAGGATACACAGATGACTGATGGTGAAGATTGCTGCAGAAATGAAGTGAATAACTTCCCCGGATCTTATGAGAAACCCATCAGTACTGATGGTATTTTGCAGAGCAAAGCTGTGAAGCTTGGTCTATTGGCTGCTGGTGTTGGCATCGGCGCCTACATTGTCTACAAACTTTGTATTAAGAAGTAAGATTAAATAATCCAGAGATTTTAGGATAAAAACGATTCTAGTAATCAAAAACTGATATTTACCCGTGATATGATTACGCTTTTCAGAAGCAAAACGTTTCCAATCAGAATAATAATTTTCATTGTACTGATTTTATTATCAAAATACTGCAAATGTTTGAATATCAGTATTATTATTAATTTGTCAATTGATTACTGTTGCAATTTGAAATATGAGAAAGTACAAACAGGCAAATTCTTGGTGATGGTAAGTTCTTACAGATTGCCCATTGTTATCTGAGATAGAACAATGTCTTCTTCATAGATTATTACCAACAGAGAGCAGGAAAATAAATCTCGTGGAAATAAACTTGGAAAGCCAACCACCAATGGTGGAAAACATTACCGTGATAAATGACCATAAAATGGAGCGGTGATGGAGAAAGGGAGTAGCAAGTGCGAACGATGTATCATGAATCCCCTCTCCCTACCCCCACCCCCTAAAGAAATCAAGGCTACCCCAGATATAACTTGTCGTTCGCTTCGATTACCTTTTTAGTATCTTTTCTTACATTCGAATACAGCTCAATTTGGAGAACAAAACAGTTCTCAGGAGATTGAAAATTTTTTTTCTCCAAATTTAGCTTCTTTGACGTCTATATGATATCCAAAACCACAATGGAATTTACATTCAAAGATTATATTTATTCATTTGTCTCTTAATTTTAGCAGTTTCGACTAATACTGCTATAGCCTCCCTCCTCTTGATCAGGCGATGGCGTAGTCTGAAGGTTGTCTTCTTGGCTGTGATTGGCTGCAGTAGATGGGCGTGACGGAGTGTTTTCGAATGGTCGCTATCCACGCTTCAGGAATCTCAATTCTGCTGTTCTCATTGATGTTGTTGGGATGGAGTCTAATATGGATGGCTTCTTTGACTCTGCGTGTGTACTAGTGGTTGTCTCTGTCGATTCACTCGACGTTCTACCAATCTGGGCGGATGTCTCTCTAATGTTTTTCCCCCGATCTTTCTTGCTTAATCTCCCAGTTTCACCGCAATAGACGCTGTAACACTCGATGCACGGGATCTTGTAGACCACTCCGTCATGTCGGCCAGAAAGGATTAAATAAATGAAATAAATTAATCATGTATAGAAACGTATAGAACACATTCCAAATGTARGCTAAAGTATTTTAATATTAGATGATTATCGAGAATCTTAACGATTCAGCAGATGGCGTAAAAAGATATGATGAAAATTCCACTGACATTGTTTGATACACAATGCATGATGGGATAGTCTGTTGGCTTATTAAACAAAAATTAACTACGAATCACCTCCGACGGGACTCGAACCCGCAACCTTCGGCTTAGGAGGCCGACGTCATATCCATTAGACTACAGAGGCCTTACATGACCAGTACTCTTCCTTCACATACCCATAATACTTTGCGGGTGTAAGGGCAGCCAGAGGAAAAAACCGCACTTATTGTGCTGAAGGCTGATTAAGTAGTAAGCACATCGTTTGATGTCCAAATACTAAAATGAAACAATAAGAAACATGCAGAAAGATATAAGAGATTAAAAAAGGTATTGTGTACTTTCAGTTGAAGAACATTTCATTTTGGGGCAGTGTTTTGATTGGTTACCGCAAGGTGCAACGCATTATGGGGCATTCGAAAGTAAAGAATGCAACCTGTGTTCGATTTCCGGTGTCGTATTAGCCATTACGAGAAAGACTGAGGACAGACTCAAGGTCAAGGTCCAAGGTTGTACATCTTCAGATCATCCTCTTCAATGTGGTGTCCCACAAAGATCTATCCTAGGCCCCATCCTATTTCTATTGTATAGGTGATGATCACCTATTGGCGATATAATGAGGAATAATAATATAAATTTCCATTTATATGCTGATGATACACAGCTGTATCTTACCTTTTCTATGTCATCCAATAAGGAATTTGAGGATGCGAAACAGCAAATTGAAACCTGTGTATCAGAAATTGATAAATGGATGACCTTTAACAAACTAAAATTAAATAACGACAAAACTGAAATTCTTGTTTTTGCTAATCCACACCGTCCTCGACCACCTGTTGATTTTATTAACATTTCTGGCTCTGACATTTCTCCATCACCATCTGCTCGTAACATTGGAGTTATTTTTGATGA